CCTGATATGTACGCCACTGCATGGGGGTACTGTTATACTGGGGAAACTACACAAATATTAGTGTTTCAAAACAGTAAAATGTATCACAATGATAATATCATCAGTAAAAGTGCCTTTTGTGTGTGAAAAATGGAAAAAAAGTCACTTTCACTCACAATATCATCAATATGCTATGATTTACTGTTTTGAAACACTAATATTTGTGTTCAGTGAAGTCTCCCGAGTAAAACAGTACTCCCCATGTACAGGTTTGAGGGTGTCATGAAAAGTTACAGGGTTAAAGTATTTAGAAAATTGGGCAAACTAGATGGGCCAAATGGTTCTTATCTGCCATCACATTCTATGTTTTTATGTTTCTAAATATAGTGCTAGCAAATTAAATCCTCTGGACTTTCGATCTGGGTTGTCAGGTGGGTCCCTCAAATTGCCATCAATAAAATTACTTAATTATGTAAAAATATTACATACATATGCACGTAGAATTTAAATATATATACACATTTATATATTTGAAGTCTTTGTGTATATTTATGAAATGATTTATGTAATTATGCATTTGAATATATATATATATATATATTTGTGTAAGGGGCAAAATAGCCGTATATGGAGTAAGGATCCAGCATAAGCTTAGGATAGTGTAAAGGGAGCAAGTCGGTTGTGGTGTGCCGATACCGACGATACGGTAGGCCTGTAAATAAAGAGGGCCCACCAAGGATTAAGAAAGTAAAGTAAATGGAAAGAAAAGAGAAAGTGTTGAAATGAGGAGTGGGTGGGAGGGTCATTCTGATGCTGACCTCAAGCGATATGAGTCAGGTAAGGGGTGTCCCTTATATAGGGGAGTGAATTAATTTAAGCCCCTCCCACAAATACAGGCAAAACTGCCTTAATACTTGTGTAAGGGGCAAAATAGCCGTATATGGAGTAAGGATCCAGCATAAGCTTAGGATAGTGTAAAGGGAGCAAGTCGGTTGTGGTGTGCCGATACCGACGATACGGTAGGCCTGTAAATAAAGAGGGCAAAAATGAATAATCAAAGATTTAATACAGTCAACAAATATATACAAATTAACCAGACATTTCCTTAAATGCATTACAGTATTTAATTCCTGAAAGGATTTTGAAGGTAGGAATCTAGGACCGAAAGTGGGCACCATTTGTTGTGGGTAGGATAGTATGTTATCTCTACTGTTGGTGCATGTTGACTCATTTCGGAATGTGGTAGAGCCAATAGGTAATGATGTATGTGTTTACGTACATGGGATCGTTGAAGACAATGATCTGTCTGAGTGGTGGTGATGGTAGTGGATTCTCTGGCCTGAGAAAGGCATAAAAGGCAATGTGCATGGCTGGTAATGGCCGACTTGGTAGTATAATTGAATAGTTGTAGATCTTATAGGTCCGATAAGGATGAACAGTTGGATGGCTATTGGTAATCTCTGAGAGGAACGTGGGGGAATGGATTCCTGAAAACCTCTGAGTATATTCTTTTCTGGTATGATAGCATGAATTTTATGGTAGTTTTGGCCATAGGTTATCATGTGTTGTTGAATGCCTGTAAAATATATAATTAATGGTGTATGAGATAGTTTAAGGTGGCAAAAATAAGCAAAACTTAGGAGAAATTTTGTGACACAGGTTGAGCTATGTCGTGTTCCAATGAGATTCTTTAAGCCAGGTGAAAAGCTGTGTTATGCGTTCTACAAGTATGGGACGAAAGTGCTAGGTGGGATAGTGCATGCTATGCTGCATGATTATGTCTAATCCATGATTTTGTCTCTGGAACGAAAGAGTGGACGTGACTGTATGGGCGGCTGTAGGAAGCGTATGATGAACATGCCTGGAATATAAATGAGACAGTTGTCGGCAGGGATGTATACCCCCGTCTGGTACATGAAAGTGAAATGTGATAAGTGGCCAACCAAGTGAGTTCCCCAGAAACATCATGAACTTATGGATGAGTAGTGGCGTTTGTTGATGATATGATATGTGCTTAGTTGTCTGAGTAACAACGGATTGATGACCCTGACCATGATTTACCCCATGCCACAGCAGCTGCTACAATGGGGTAGATCTCCCAAAGGGGCTGAAGTGGTGGAAAAATTTCCAAACCTGGATGCCATGGCCAACAGCCCCAAAGCAATTGTTCCCGGTAGATCGCTGCCAAACCCGTGGTATACGCTGCGTCTGACCATCTGGTTGGAGAAGTGTCAGACAATCCTGGAAGGAACATACTTTTACCATGCCAAGTGGTTAAGAAATCCCCCCCCCCATGTGCAGGTCTGCTGTTGCTGAGGTGTCTAGACACCTCCTCTGATCGTCATGTTGGAAGTGTGGAAAAAAGTGGAAAGTACTCTGGATGTGAAAGCGTGGTCTTGTGGTATGATTGGCATGGCAAAATTAAGGAACCTGGTAGGGATTGTAGTTCCTTGTAGTTGTAAGTACTAAGCAGGAGGTAGTGATTGATTTAGTTGAGAATGTTCCCTATTTGTCTTGTGGTAACTTGCGTGTATGGATGCCGACTCAAGTCATATGCCCAGTAATGTGATGATAGTGTCTGCGCCTTCTGTTTCTTATGGGGTACTGGGACGCCCAAGTGGTCAACCAGACTAAGCTGCCATGAGGCTTCTAGTGAAAAATATGCTTTCTTTGAGCAACAAGAAGTCTTCTAGATAGTGTATGACTGTAATGCCTCTGGATATGTTATCATAACCAGCACAGAGTATCTGCGAATATCGATAGTAGGTTAATCTGTAGCTCGAAAGTTGAGCAGGGAAAGGATTGCCCAATTTATGCCATGTAAGTGCCAGTGTGTAGGGCACATGGTAGCTGTTTACTGCGTTGATGATATTGGTCTTACTTAATCAAGCTTTAACCCATGCTTGAGTGATAGCTGTAAAGGTAGATCAATGGTGTTGTATATGTAAGAAAAATCCTTGGAGGGTATGAGGGAGTTGAGACTTGGAGTAGCGGAGGTGTGTGGTGCCAATAAGTCTATGGTTAGTCTTTGTTTAAGGGAAGATTCCTTGTGACAATACCAATGTGTTTGTGTTTGGTGCCATGCTGTAAATGGTGGAGATTGGAAGACCCCTCTGCAAATCTTGGCTATGAGTGTGTTTTCAGCCAATGGTTTTGTTGTGCTGACTGTAAGTGAGGGCATGCTATATTCCTTGAAGGTGTGTTTATGATACCTGTATGGGAGCCCTTTGAAGCTCCAGAGCTTTAGTAAATCTACTACAAGTCTGGAAGGGTGATGAGTCAGTAGTGTTGAAAATGCATTGGTGTGTACAGATGGTAAGTACGTTATTTGTAAGTTGTATTGGGCCACATGGTTTGTCATGTGCCCTGAACCATTTGAACATCTATGCAACAGTCTATATGCAATGCAACTACTCATATCAATGATCTCTGGTAGTTCAGAGGTGCTGGTACCTGGAGCCTGAGAGTGCTCGTCCATTTGTTTGGGACAGAATCCCTTCTGTATGGGTACCTGCACAAATAAACATTTCTACATATTCCAAATACAACCCATCCAAGAGATGGTCAGTTCCCGATTTACCTGGAATCCCTGAATCTGACCATCACAGATACATCATCATACATATCATCATACATATATATGCCTTGCTTCCCCAATGTGCTGGGATCATACGTGCAGGGTTAACATCTTGTGTGTCATAATAATTGATTGTACCAGGTAACCGAGTTTCGGTTGGTGCTGGTTGTACAGTAACGTGAGGCCCAGCCTTGTGAGGGCTGTGGTGACCAACTCGAGATTGCCAGTCTGTCATAAAATTTTTTGTCTCATGAGTTTATGAGTGAGGCTAGCATAGCCTGGGTGTCACCTGAGTTGATGTAGCTGGGCCTTCCCCTGCCTCTGTGTTGTCCGTTGATGTATGGAGGAGTTTGAATAACTCTGCTTTCCTTGCTGTAGCAGGGTAGGGGATTTATCACCTCCTTAGGTCGGTGGTAATGTGTGGGATCGTCCAGGATCTGATTGCTGCAGGACTAGCAACATCTCCTCTGCTTGAAGGTGTATCAATTCTAGCCGGGGTGCTAGGAAGAGGTGATTCTTCACCATCTTTTGGAGAAATACTTAAATAACAATAAAGATTGCAATTATTTGTACCCAGGGTTCTTGTACTGGCTTGCTAGCTAAGCCGTAAGGCGAAACGATTAGGCTTGGTGTTTTTTGGTGACTGGTGAGGCCCTGCTAGTTGCCAAGTGGCTTGAGAGGCTCTATCTATGCTTGGCGCGAGGGGATTTTGTGTGGCCACCGAACATTGTGGCAGGATGTTGGCCTCTCGGTGACAGTAACCAGAAAATAGGAAGGGGAGTGACAGGTGAGGCCCTCTCTATGATACAATGCGAGGCGGCTAGCTCACGAGTGGCCCGAGGGGTGTATGCCTCCGAGTGTGAGGCGGGGTGTTGGCCTCGCGGGACCACTAACCGAAGCATAATGCAGAGAAAAAGGGGGTAATACCTATTGGGCCCTAGAACCCTAATTGCCAGTACACTATTACTATTCCAGGGAAGGTAAGAGATGGATAACTACGTGAGCAGGTGTATGTACCTGGTAGTATGGTATTGAACCTGACAATCCGTATAGGTTTTTTAGTAGTAACTGTAACCTGAATGGATAAAACCGTATGGCATAAGGAAATATGGCATAGACCAAGCTTATCTTAATACGTACAGTATATGTGAAAAGTAAAGTGACGTGATGTGTAAATATTAAACATCGTAGCCATACTGGTTAAATATGTATCAATCTTAACCCATTAAGTGCTGTATGTACAAGTGAAAATGTGGTCTGTCCCCACCTTGTATGTTGTATGTCCCCTTGCTAGGGGAAAGTCTGTTGTGTGACCAGCGTGCGGTGAAAAATGTATGTGAAACATATTACCAGTTACGTATATACAGATGCGTGTGCTGCTGTGTAATAATATGTGTATTTATACCTGATGTTGATATAGTGCTTGCTATGTGAATTGTTGTATGTCTTATTGAATGGTAGCGGTCAGTGAACATGGTGTTGCAAAATGCAAGTGCACTGGAGATCTGCCGAGTGCCCTATAGGTGGCAGTGTAGTTGGATACTGATTGGTATGTGAAATGTTGTTTGTCTGTTGACCTATAGGGGTCAGTGTTTTGGTGTTTGTAAAACCCCATGAAAATTGTCAATGTACTTGACAGACCTGTAGGTGGCAGTGTTGATAGAACCACTGTTGGTCTTGATGTGAAATGTAAATTATTGTGAATTAAACCTGAATTTGAGCCCGTGCTGGAGTTTCATTTATGGTTTATGGTTATGTTTAACCCCGTAAGGACCAAACTTCTGGAATAAAAGGGAATCATGACACGTCACACATGTCTTGTGTCCTTAAGGGGTTAAAACAATCTTATGTGTAATTTATATTGGCTGGTAAATTGTATATGACATGTGAAGACAGTTTTGCTGTTGACCAGTAGGGGTCATAAATGCTGATTGTATGGTAAAAATACCCTTTAACCCCTTAAGGACCAAACTTCTGGAATAAAAGGGAATCATGACATGTCACACATGTCATGTGTCCCTAAGGGGTTAATCCTACCGTTTGACAGATAGGAGTCAGTATAAAAGCGAAAATGCTGTAGTTAGTTTGTTTGCTTATGAAGTGAAATAAAGTCTAAGAAGACTGTAGTATACCGATTGACCGGTAGGGGTCAGCATGTAGGCGAAAATGCCGTGGTTCGTTGGTTTGTACATGAAATGCAATAATGTCTGAGAAGCCTGTAGTACACTGAATGACCGGTAGGTGTAAGTGTATAGGTAAAAATGCAGTGGTTTATTGTTTTGTACACGAAAAGCAATAATGTCTAAGAAGCCTGTAGTACACCGAATGACTGATAGGGGTCAGTATGTATGTGAAAAATGCAGTGGTTTGTTGGTTTGTACATAAAATGCAATAATGTCTGAGAAGCCTGTAGTACACCGAATGACTGATAGGGGTCAGTGTGTAGGTGAAAAATTAAGTGGTTTGTTGGTTTGTACATGAAATGCAATAATGTCGGAGAAGCCTGTAGTACACAGAATGACCGGTAGGGGTCAGTGTGTAGGCGCAAATGCAGTGGTTCGTTGATTTGTACATGAAATGCGATAATGTCTAAGAAGCCTGTAGTACACCGAATGACCAATAGGGGTCAGTGTGTAGGTGAAAAATGCAGTGGTTCGTTGGTTTGTACATGAAATGCAATAATGTCTAAGAAGCCTGTAGTACACCGAATGACCAGTAGGGGTCAGTGTGTAGGCAAAGATGCAGTGGTTCGTTGGTTTGTACATGAAATGCAATAATGTCTGAGAAGCCTGTAGTACACCGAATGACCGGTAGGGGTCAGTGTGTAGGCAAAGATGCAGTGGTTCGTTGGTTTGTACATGAAATGCGATAATGTCTAAGAAGCCTGTAGTACACCCAAAGACCAGTAGGGGGTTTAAACGAATGATATGCATGAACATGCAATGGTTTTAGAACAGACTTAGACAAAATGCAGCAGTAAAGTGAGGACCTGACCCTTGCATGGTGCCGTGGGACTGATGCCTGGCGTAACGGGTAGGTCAACTTACGGTTTGTGAGTCACTTGGACACCATCCACAGCGATAGATTGAAGAAAGAAGGTGGTAGGCCGGAAAAGCCTGTGGCTGGATTCCTGACACAGCTCAGCTTAGAAAACCTCATGGAGTAATCAGGTAAAATGGCGTCTGGATGACCCGGAAGTGGAAATCATTCTGATGCTGACCTCAAGCGATATGAGTCAGGTAAGGGGTGTCCCTTATATAGGGGAGTGAATTAATTTAAGCCCCTCCCACAAATACAGGCAAAACTGCCTTAATACATATATTTCCTATTATTTTTATTTATTTATAGATACATATATATAATTTAATTCTAAGTGTAATTTAAAGGGCCATTATAGTCACCAGAACCATCTAAAGCTGGATGTAGTGGTTCTGGTGTCCATAGCCTGTCCCTGCAGGCTTTTTAATGTAAACACACTGCCTTTTTAGAGACATGACACTGTGTGCAGCACTGGCGTTGGCGTTGGCTCATATGGCAGATCATATGGGTGGGGCATTGTAATGGGGAGGGGAGGGCGGCAAATCTTTGTTTGCCTTGGGTGACAAAAATCCTTGCACCGGTCCTGCACAGATCGGGAACAACACCGATCGCAGCGGGGGAAAATCAGCGATAGGGTAAGTAATATATTTACTGCGGACGTACTAGGTACCTCCGCGGTCCTTAAAGACCATTTTTGTCGGACATACCTTGTAAGTCCGCAATCCTTAAGGGGTTAAGACGCAGCTTCTTAGCCGGTCTCTGTGGTTTACCTTATGTTTGTTTTGAAGGAGTTTCGTCGATAAATTTGTCCATGATGGTGGAGCAAAGGGGGAAGTAAATAGCAAATGCCAGACTAAAGAAAGAATTTTGGAGTATGTAAAGCATGTCAAACCTGCGGCCTACAAGGAATATATTTACCGCCTGCCTGACCTGGGGACGCTGTGGCTGCGACCAGCCGCAAGGCAGGAAAGATCTTTCCTGCCTGATCCTTGTCTTCTCTTCCATGGCCACAAGAAGGCAGAGTGGCTATCTGTCTGCAGAGCAGGCCTACCACTCCCCCTTCCCACCTGCTCGCAGTGCCAGAGGGTAGTCTGACCTGCTTACAGAGAGAAGTAGGGCTGGAACTGGAGGACAGCTGGCTCATCTTAAGGTAGGGGAAGAGGGGCTTGGGGGGACCTTCCTTCACACAGAAGAGAAAATAGCACAGTCAGTAAAAAAGGGGGATAAAACATTTTTGGATACATAAATGAGAAAAGGAAAGTAAAACAAGGATTAGTTAGATTAAAAACAAAAGAAGGAAGGCATGTAGAAGAGGATAAAGGTCTAGCTGACTGCCTCAGAATATTTTTCTTCAGTATATACAGATGAAAATGAAGGAGAGGGACTTCAGTTAAGAAAAATGACAAATGGGTAATTTGTTACATGTGAGTTTTCAGAGGAAGAGGTTCTATTTCAACTGTCAAAGGTAAATAAGTCGATGGGACCTGATGGAATACACCCAAAGTTATTAAAAGAACTTAGTGGTGTACTAGCAAAAGCATTAATGGATTTATTTAACCAATCATTGTTAACAGGAGTAGTCCCAGAAGATTGGAAATTAGTGAATGTTGTACCCATTCACAAGAAAGGTAGTAGGGAGGAATTGGGCAACTATAGGCCAGTAAGCCCTACTTCAGTAGTGGGGATGGAAACCATGGTAAAGCATAGGATTGTTGAACATCTAAAATCACATGGATTTCAATGTCATAGACAACATGGGTTTACTTCAGGGAGATCATGCCAAACTAATCTTATTGATTTGTTTGATTGGGTAACTAAAATAATAGATCAGGGTCGTGCAGTAGACAATGCTTACCTAGATTCCATTAAGGCTTTTGACACTGTTACACATAGAAGGCTCATCAACAAACTGCAATCTTTAAAGGGACACAATAGTCATCCAGACCACTTCAGCTCAATGAGGTGGTCTGGGTGCCAGGTCCCTCAGGTTTTAACCCTGGAGCTGTAAACATTGCAGTTTCAGAGAATCCAGCCTCTAGTGACTGTCTCACATTACGCAGAGCATCCATTGAGAAATGCTTTCCTATGGACTGTTGGAATGCGTGGCGACATCAGTCCGGAGCTGATGACGACGGGGGAGGAGAGGTCACCAGCGCCGAGGGAGCCGGGCGCTGGATAAAGGTAAGCTGCTGAAGGGGTTTTAACCCCTTCAGCACCACGAGAGGGGGACCCTGAGGGTGGGGGCACCCTCAGGGCACTATAGTGTCAGGAAAACCGCTTTGTTTTACTGACACTATAGTGATCCTTTAAGTTTGGATTCCAATATTGTTGAACTTTTAATTAGCTTAAATTAAAATATATATATCCCTACATATAATTTAACAATACAAGTAAAGGGGGAGGGAGGGGGGAAGAAGAGAAAACTAAAAACAAAAGAAGATATATGCTTAAAAGGTGCTACCCTTATCTAGTAATAGCACCTGTGGCACAGGGATTTAAAATAAATAGATAATATGAAAATCGTAGTTTTAATCTTCCAAGAAACTCAATAGTGGTAACTCCTATCACCCAGTGCCAACATGACAGCATAATCTCCTTCTCCCCCTCATGAACGATTTAGCTAGAACTACCTATTCGCTACAATCTTCTCTTAAAATAATTACGTAGGGTGGCTAATCTGGGAAGTAAGTTAAGGTTGCAGCTACATCCCCTGTCTCCCTGCCTCCCTCTGCTACTGAAGTCCCAACGCGCGTTACGCAAAATATTGGCTCTTCCAAGGGAACCGGCTCTAGATAAAGTGGTAGTTTAAATACCCCACCCTCCATGCTGATTGGGTAAAATTACCACCAGCCTGATTGGAGGGAAGGGAGAGTGACGTGTAGAAACAAAAAATGAACCCCTTGTAAGCGGGTGAAACGTAAATAAAACTAATACAAGAATAATTCACTATACTGTATGATTATTATTAAACTAAATTAAACACTGGGCAAGCGACAGTGCAGGGCTATATTAGCCTTTTACAAACCTTTTTAGGCAATAAAGTGACGGGTGTCTCTTCTATTTTACCGAGAGGAGATTAGTCTGGAATGTTATAGAACGTATTCATAGTGACTTGTAGTAACTTATAACGAGAAATGTTGCAGTATGCTCTCACTGTCAACTGTAATTAATGCAAAGAGAATATGTGACAATATTAACTGGCAGGAGATTTAGGTCTATGAATAAATGTATCCAAATAGCTTCACCTAAGGGTAAGGTTGCTAAATGATGACTGAGCTGTATACCTACAGGTCAATTATAGTAACCAAAGATGTCCTATATATAGATTTCTATTGAGATGATTAAACCAATAAACAAGTTGTGATTTCCTTAGATCACTTACCGCCTTAATTTAACAAAATCACTTGTTTACTGAGGAACATTGTTAGTGAGGAACTGTAAGTCCATATGTCTATACTGTTTTTTTTCTTTTATTTTCATTAATAAAGCATGTGAACGGAAAACTAGAAAAATGGTCAGAGCTGTGGTAACTGACATTTAATATGGATAAGTGCAAGATAATGCATCTTGGACGTTAAAACCCAAGGGCAGAGTATAGAATAATTGGTACACTACTAATCTCAACATCTCAGGAAAGGAATTTGGGCGTAATTATTTCAGGTTAATTGTAGGCAGACAATGTAATAGAGCAGCAGGAAATGCTAGCAGAATGCTTGGTTGTATAGGGAGAGGTATTAGCAGTAGAAAGAGGGAAGTGCTCATGCCATTGTACAGAACACTGGTGAGACCTCACTTGGAGTATTGTACGCAGTAGTGGAGACCGTATCTTCAGAAGGATATTGATACCTTAGAGAGGGTTTAGAGAAGGGCTACTAAACTGGCTCATGGATTGCAGGATAAAACTTACCAGGAAAGGTTAAAGGATTTTAACATGTATAGCTTGGAGGAAAGCGAGACAGGGGGGATATGATAGAAACATTTAAATATATAAAGGGAATAAACACAGTTAAGGAGGAGACTATATTTAAAAGAACAAATACTACCACAAATTAGAGGGGCAAAGGTTTAAAAATAATATCAGGAAGTATTACTTTACTGAGAGGGTAGTGGATGTTCTTCCAGCTAAAGTGGTAGAGGTTAACACAGTGAGGGAGCTTAAACATGTGTGGGATAGACATAAGGCTGTCCTAGACTTAAAAAAGGCCAGGGACTAATTAAAGTATTTAGAAAATTGGGCAGACTAGATGGGCCAAATGGTTCTTATCTGCTGCCACGTTCTCTGTTTCTAATATTACACTTTAGTTTTTTCCCTTTTTTTAATTTCTCTATTTTTATCTTTTATGTCCAATTTTCACTCCTAAACTAAACATGAGGGGTAAGTTATTTGTTTTTTTAGCACTGCACTCATACCTGGGAAATCATGTGTGGGGTCTTATCACCCAGATAGTTTTTCTAAAAAAAAATGTGATTATATAAAACAGCCCAGGAGGATCAGGAGATGCTTGCAACCAAGGAGGATGAACTAAAGTGCCACACTTAATTCTTCCTCACCATGCTGGATGGTGTATCACAAATACACCAAACTGAGTTACAGGAATTAATGTGCCTTTATCCTCCTCCATGGACCATTGTGTTTAGAACCTTAGAATGTTGCAACCTCCCTCACCCACAGCAACCTGTAATGCCACCGCCGATGTGATCAACAATGCCACTATCAATGCTGCCTCATGATAGCCATCTTCATGAAAACAATTATTTGAAAGCTTTAACCTCTTAAGGACCAAAACTATTTTCAAATGCAACACATCTGTGACCAAGACCTTTTTGGCACTTTGTTAATTCTACCACAATTTCACCCTTTTTGTGTAAGTGCACCCATACGTGTTATATATAATTTGTTAAAAGGAGAAATAGGGCTTTATTTTGATACCATATATATATATACATAACACAATACTGAATAGGAATAAAATATAAATAAAAAAAATATATATTTTTTTTCTCAGTTTTACACTTAATTATTTCTACACCATGCATAAATAAAGAAAACAAACTCAAAATAGATTCTAATTTTTAAAATGTCTATAATTTTAATTATATTTTAGAAGTCAAACAAAAATTATTGCAAGGAGTGAATTAAGTTTTTAAAGGTAAAACTTTGCAAAATGTGTCATGTTGAAATTGCAACAATTACACTTCTCTTTGAGAGCTTTTATCAGTCAGGAAATACCAGTAGCAATTGGTAAGATGTTCTACTTTAAAAACTGTAGCTAGTCACTAACATAAGCAAAAGTCATTTTAATGATTAGTGGCTTGTCGGTAACAATTAAAGAAAATATATATTTTTTAAAAGCTCTAAAAGTGCAGGATAGCATGTCACACTCTAATGATTTCTTGTTTAATGATAGGTTTTAGGACACTAAGTACTAGCATTCCTGTACAAAGTCATTTCAACAGGAATTCAGAGAACTACAAAGATTCCTGTACAAAGTCGTTTCAACAGGAATTCAGAGAACTACAAAGATTCCTGTACAAAGTCGTTTCAACAGGAATTCAGAGAACTACAACTATTCTGTTAATGCTAACACAGTATAAGTATGTTTATCTGATTATGCTTTAATCTCTTTGAGATGTGCTATCATGGGATTCTCCTCCCATTCAGGTAAGCCAGATAATGCGATATTGGTGTTGTCATCAATGGGCCATCCCCATGCCTTGAAGAATGGAACCAAGTTTTTATTTACAGCTTCAGAGAACTTCACCGCCCACAGATTCATCTTGTCCTTGTTATTGTTACTAATACCTGACATAGTCTGGTACTCCGCAAATAAATGTTTGAAAGGTTCCCAGCCAAACCCTTCTTGCAGCTGAAAGTAAACAAAATACATATGAAAACTACTGAAAAGTAAATGTGTGCTTCTTGGTTAAATGTATTTATGTTATAAACTATATTATAAACATGCGTTGCATGACTCAGTCATCTTGTAAAAAACAAACAGAATTCTATTGCCTTTGAAATCATATATATATATATATATATATATATATATATATATATACACACAGTTGCAAGAAAAAGTATGTGATCCCTTTGGAGTGATATGGCTTTCTGCACAAATTGGTCATAAAATGTGATCTGATCATCATCTAAGTCACAACAATAGACAATCACAGTCTGCTTAAACTAATAACACACAAAGAATTAAATGTTGCCATGTTTTTATTGAACACACCATGTAAACATTCACAGTCTATTGTTGTGACTTAGATGATGATCAGATCACATTTTATGACCAATTTGTGCAGAAATCCATATCATTCCAAAGGGTTCACATACTTTTTCTTGCAACTGTATATATAAACTAGTACAGTCATCGGGCAGTATCATGATAAAGACCAAGCGATACCTAGGAGCCAGGTGGAGTACCCTTTCTCCACGCCACAAACAGCTAATTTTAGTAACAGTCTAGCCGTGGCAGCCTGGAATTAAGTGCTGGATGATGATGTAGCCTCAATCTGGTCAAACTTCCTTTAATGATTTCTCTGGCTAGGCACATCGCATTCGGATGCTTTTTGAACACTTTACTTGGGGAACGAGATCTGAAAGGGACCTATTGGGAATATATTATTTATATGTTTATGTTATGTTTAAGTTTTGTTTCTTTACTAAAAGTATACCCAGTGGAGCACTAAAAGATATTTCTATCCACACTTACCCTCCTAAATACAAAGAGGGTTGTATTATTATCACAATATACCTTAAAAAGGAAAAATAGCAAAATATGGTTTAGTATTTCAAGACTTTAAAGTGGTGTATATCTACATATAAACTGCACTCACTTGGTACAGATCCCTACAAGGATAGGCTAAAATCTTGTTGGCACGGGTATAACGGGTAATACCAGAACCTCGTCTTACTCTTGGCTCAAAGACTCTCAAAAAAGGGAAAAAGAAAAGACAAGAAAGGAATCAAATGCTTCTAGGTTGATACCATAAATATAAAGTGCAAGTGCAAGTGGCTGCTCACCTTTCTTAGAGCCAATTGTACTAGGCTCTCAGTATAATGGTGTGTGTGCCTTTAAGGGAGCACAGCCCTTCTTTTATTGTGATAATAATACATCCCTCTTTTTAGTTAGGATGGTAAGTGTATCTTATGTATATCTTATAGTGCTCCACTCGGTTCACTTTTCGTGGATAAATTGCACTGGGTTCAATCTATTTTTATAAAACTGTGTGTTTAGTTTAAGGTATCAACACATGTTGCTATATTATCTACTGGTGTTAAATTTGTTACATTAGTGCCTCTATTGCACAGTGCACTTTCTCTTTTCATACTATGTTTTTATATTATTTTATTATTCTGGTGCCCTGGAGCCTGAGGACTTAATACAATTAACATTCAATAATTAATTTATCTTCCAACTCAGAGACTCCAGAATGGTAACCCATTGTTCTTGATGTTGTGCCTATATAAACCTGTTATTCTCCTGTACACTAAGTGTCATCTAGTGCTTGGGGAGATGGGCTATAAAGACTTGAGAGACCTTTCTTCCAGCTAGAGGGATACTTTAGCAGAGATACTTGACAGTTTATTGGAGCTCCGCTATAACCAACTTTAGCATGACTTGAAGTAATAATTTTCTACATGACTTTATCAGTCTCTCACATCATTGTGGTGGAATTTTGGCCCACTCTTGTTGCCTGAGTTAATTGAGGTTTGCTTGCATTTATTAATACACAGTTCTCTTAAGGTCCCACCACAGCATTGCAATTGGGTCCTGACTTTGACTAGGGCATTGCGACACATTGATTCTTTTCTTTTTCAGTCATTTTGTTACAGATTTCCTGCCATTTGTAGATTGTTCAGCTGCATGACCCAATTTGGGCAAGCTTTTACATGTCGAACCATTGACCTCACATTGGATTCTTGAATACTTTGGTACACAACAGAGTTCTTGGTTTACTCAATGACTGCAAGTTTCCCAGGTCCAGTGGCTGCAAAATAAGCCCAAATCATCATCCCTCCACCACCATGCTTGACAGTTGGTATGAGGTGTTTATGCTGATATGCTGTGTATGGTTTTTGCCAAACGTGGAGCTATGCATTACGGCCAAACATCTTCACTTTGGTCTCATCTGCCTGAAGGATATTGTTCCAGAACTCTTGTGATATGTTCAGATGCAACTTTGCAAACCTAAACCGTGCTGCTATGTTCGTTTTAGAGAGAAGAGGCTTTTTGCTGGCATCCCCTTCTAAACAAACCATACTTGTTCAGTCTTTTACTAATTGTGCTGTCATGAACTTTAAAATTTATAAATCTAACTGAGGCCTGTAGAGTCTGAGAGGGTAACTCTTTGGTGTTTGCAATTTCTCTGAGCATTGCATGGTCTGACCTTAAGGTGAATTTACTGGGACGTCCACTCGTTAAAAGATTGGCAATTGTGTTAATTTTTTTCCACTTTCGAATAATCTTTCTCATTGTAGATTGGTGGACTTTAAATTCTTTGGAAATGACCTTACAATATTTAACAGTTTGATGGGCAGCAACACTTGCTTCTTTAAGAACATTGCTTACAATGTCTTTCCTCCTAGGAATTGTGTTAACACACACCTGAATGCTCCATTGAATAAGTGATTATAGAGGTGATCATGATGATCACTTATTCAATGGAATAATATTAGCAGCACCTGTCTCTTAATTATTTTGGAAGCAGTAAGGCTGTGTTAATTTTTCATACATGACTTCTCCGTTTTGGCTTTATTTTTGTTAAATACATTATGACACATTGTAACATGTGTTGTTGTTCATCTTAGGTTGTATTTACCTAATTTTAAGATCTTATAAGGACCAGAAGATTGTTATTATGTCCTGTTATTTATAACCATTTAATTAAATGAGGGTGTATTTTCTTTTTCACATGATGGTATACACATATAAATACTGTGTGGTAAAACAGAACTATCACAATCAAAATGTTGACAATTTCTCTTTCTTTTTGTTTTGTTTCTATATTATGGCCAATAATATATTGAAATTTAGCCAAATTAATTAAAATTACTTGTTCATGCGTCTTTCTATTACCTGTAAATAAGTCTCTAACGCTGTCCATACACTCCAATTCTCTAGTTTGGCTTTACTTTTTAAATATGTTTCAATTGCACTCTTCCTGGTTTCTGGCTGTAATGATTCATGAGCTATGTTACGTGGAATTTTCAAAACGTTTTCATGAACATACACACTCCATAAGTTGCAAGTGGCCTCTGTGGTATGTGAGGGGAACTCCCAATAACTTTTCTGTTGATTGTGACCAAGCTCATGTATGGGTCCCCAAAAACCAATTTTCTTTATATGCTGAATGTCTACCAGAGCTGGTGTTGATGCAAAGTGACACATAATTGGGTATCCAGCATGCATCCAACCTAAAAAAAAGAAGAGAGAGATGAATCTGTCAAACATTCCAATGACAAAGATCTTGTTTTAAAGGGACCCTCTATGCCTAAAAACAGCTTTAGCTTAATGGAGTGGTTTTGGTGTGAAGAAATACCCCTGTATTACTGCTTAGTTATCTGCCATTAGGAGTTATTCACTTCCAGTGTGTTTAACCTAGAATTTGTTCTCTCATGCTCTATCATTAGCCTTGTGTGTGTGATTAAAGTCCAATTGCCAGATCAGGAGACAATAACTTCTAAAGTAAGCACACTGTGCTGTAAGTTTCATGGAGACTCTGAAAGTTGATATGAGAATATTTAATTTCATTTTAAATTAAATTTTCAAATTGTGAAATATGAGGCCTTAGTCCAATATGCTTGTAAATCCAAAGACAAAGGGAAGTATGGAAGTACTAAATGCAAAATAAATCTGGAATTTCAAAAAATATTAATATTTTTTTAATATGTTTTTGCAGTTTTAATAATTTAGTACCAGTAATCAAAATCAGAGGTTGGGAATATTTTAGTATGTTGGTGTATATTTTTAATTAATATTATTGTCCAATTTAAATTTACAATGCAGATTTTGTTCTCTGTTTATCATAATAGTGTAACTATATTAAAGTAAAAAAAAAAATTAAACTTATTTCTGAGTACATGAAGAGTGGAGGAAATACTGTGGGGTTCGTGAATTAATTATATTGACATACATTATGGTTGTGCAGTCATCATGAACAGTATAGTTTAATATGTCAGAAGTACTTAAAAATAATCTCAACATTAGCTGTTATTGCATAGTAGAATTTTTTTAATGTTTCTTATTTGAGGTTTATTTTAGGGATAGCACGAAATTTCTCAATTAGCTCTACAAACCAGCTGAAATTTGTACGTCTGTAACAATCCTCTCCGGCCTTGGAAATTTCTTTGGAATTGCTGCTAGCTCAGCAACTGCCTCCATGACTGTGTCCCACAGAGTCAGTAACTCTTCCGGGTCATCTAGGGAGTGAATTGCACTTGAGGGCACAGTCAGTATGATGTTCTCTGTAACTAGCTCTGCCCATGGAGCTGGAAGAGTACGGAGGTTTTCCACCCAGGATGAGACACTGGTCTTCCCTAAATAAAATTAAAAAAAACAGATGGAGTAAACTGAATATTTTATTATTATTATTCTGTTTTCAAACATGTTGTATAATTGTTGTCCCTGTAAGGAATTAATGAGTAATGTTAAATACAGTGTATGCTGTCCTTTTAATTAATTACACCAAAGATCCAATGTGACCTGCTGTGATTAGATGTTTTTTTCAGCTATGCAGATAAAATAAATTGATTTTTTTTTTATTTTTATTGATGGGGAGAGGGAAAAGGCGAAAAAAGAATATAAAAAACAAAGAGAACAAAGAAGATAAGGGGAAAAGCAAAAGGAAGGGAAAGATAAAGAATAAAAAAAAGGGAAGATAATAAAGGGTAGAGGAAAGGAATGAAGAGAAAAAAAGGGAAGGGGGAAGGGGGAAGGGGGAAGCATAGGATAAAAAGAAAAGGAAAAGGAAAAAAAAGAGGAAAAATAAAAGGGAAAGGGAAGGGAAAACTGAAGAAAAAAGGGGGGAAGAAAAAGATGGAAAAAACAAAAAGGAAAAGAAAAAAGTTAAAGGGAGAGGGAAGGAAAAAGAAGAAAAAAGGAGAAATATATGGATCCTTTCCCCTTTATGTTTATGTTAATTTAAGGGTTATTCTAGCAATGTGATGCTTTCCTCCCTTGAATGGGAGTTAGCTTTGTCTACATATAATGAACCCAGAGAATATAACTAGCTGGCAATAGATTAGAAGAATATATAATAATAATAATAATAATAGTAGGCTGGCTAAAACAAAATAAGACAGATTTAATTTATAGGGGAAGATTATATTATGTTTTACCTAATTGCCTCAAGGAAACAGATGGTATTACCAAAGAGTCCAACAGTGGGAATCTAGGACCCATAATGAAATGGTCAGATGCGATAACCACAAATACAGATGTACATATTTTAATTTTTTTTGTCTGCTTATAGTTTATTTTTTTATATGTATTTCTTCTTTTCTTTCTGTTTTGTATCCTGCTATGAATTAATAGTTTTTGGCAATAACTATAATATTGGTGTAAGAGTATATAAATTAAGAACGATGGTACGATGCAATCTTAGGGAGGTAATGCAGAAAGACACAACATTAATTATAACTTTTTATGATGTAAGAAACCCAAATAGAGATAATACATAATTAATGACTTTAAATATATTATCTATTAATGCGCGCAGACTTAACGCTCCGCATAAACGTAGACTACTACTGGCAACAGCAGAGGAATATGAAGTCTCCCAATTTGCAAAAAGGAGAAGGCCCTTATTTTAAAAATTAAACATTTTCACTCATTAAATAGGTCCAAAAATGTAGCACAACAATGATCTTAAAAAAAATATACATTCTCAGATTTTATCTAATTTTGAAGACCCTTCTGCTCACTTTAATATTGTTTAATATACTATTAATGGAGGAGATTTAATAATAGTGAATGTTTATTTACCACCACAAAGATTATTTGTTTGTTAATCGACTCTATCTTTATAATTTGAAAAGTATAACAATAGGACCAATAACATGGTCTGACCAGAGCCCAATTTTGCTAAAATTATCATTGACATTAAGACACTTTGTAAATTGGAATATGAATTGTAGAATACTTCAATGGTCAGAGACTAAAGATTTTATAGATTCTGCATTGAATGAATATTTTACTATGAATGATACTCCTGATATAAATTTGGAGTGCATGTGCTAAACTCACAATGCAGTAATTAGAGGTAAATTCAGATCTCATGCGCCATATGTAGCTAAACAAAAACAGAATGAGCTGATAGATTTAACCCCTTGAGGACACGACATGTGTGACATGTCATGATTCCCTTTTATTCCAGAAGTTTGCTCCTTAAGGGGTTAAAGTTAAATTAGTAGAACTTGAAAGAGCACATAAAATTATACATTTTTGAAAGCCTAATATTAAAAATACAATCAATAAAAACATAGATCAACAAGATCTGAAAAAAAGAATATTATATAAGACACCTAAAGTGACAATTCTATACAAATGAAAACAAAACTAGTCGTCTCTTAGCAAATAAATTAAAGGATCACTATAGTGTAAGGAAAACAAACTCCTTAGGAACCCCCCACCCTCAGTGTACCCCTCCCTAGGTGCTGAAGAGGTTAAAACACCTTCAGCTACTTAGCTTTATCCAGCGCCGGACTCCCTAAGGAAATTTCTAATTATCTTCTAATTATCTTTCTAATATCCAAATTCCTAGTATTGATAAAAGTTAGGCTTAAGCTTAAGCCTATAACAGAAGAAGAGCTATTAAAACTATGCCACAGGGAAAATCACCCGACCAGATGGGTTCAGAGCTTTATATTATGAACAGCATCTTAAGAGTTTAAAATCTAACTTGTTATTGCTTTTTAACTCATGTGTGTCTACGGGGAAAAATCCAAAGGAGATGTTGGCAGCGCACATTGTCGCACTGCCAAAACCAGGGAAATCCCCCAAGCAGCACAGCGATCTGCAGCCGATTTTGCTTTTAACCCCTTAAGGACACATGACATGTGTGACATGTCATGATTTCCTTTTATTCCAGAAGTTTGGTCCTTAAGGGGTTAAATATAAGATCTATGGAAAAATTATGGCAGCTAGAATTTCCCCTTTGCTGCCCTATTTGATAAAACATTAACAAGTTGGATTCATAGGGGGACAGATGGGAGATGCCACAAAGGGTAGCTGAGAATGACAAGATCAGATCCAGAAAAAGAAGCAAGTAACTGTATTGTGCATAGCTTGGGCCCCTTACATATGAAGGTGCTGTACCCCTAGTGGTGACACATATATATAATTATATATAAGACCCTGAGGAGTCAGGCAAGGAGTCGACAGAACTGGGACATGTGAGAGTGAGGGGAGTGTATAGTAAGAAATATTAAGGAGGTCTTAGAATGGTGGGTGTAGATTTAGGGCAAAGGGGTGTTTCCAGTATAAACTGGAGGGCATTTTGCAGGCCAAGCAGCCATCTTAATTACCCAGATTGATAACAGCTTACATGGCTCTTGCCAACCAGGGATTGGACCAGCGGTCTGTGGAAAGATGTATGGTCGGGATGATCCCTCCCTTAACCTCGGGTACAGGTATGGATAACAGACGTGCCCACTGAGCCAATGATCGACTAGTGGTTAGCATTACGATAATGGAAGGTCCAAGAAAGGCTTTGGTGCTGGTTGGGACAAAAGGGGGAGGGCAGTTGCCCAAGTGATTGTGTTTGGTTGGAAATGTGGTTTCTCAGCTACGTTTAATTTTGCTGAGAGAGTTATATTATGTTACTATGTTATAAAGTTGATGTTGAAAAAATATATATATAATATATAATAAAGCTGTGACCTATTTTCACCAAGTAAGTTTTTGGGTTGGTTATTTCAGGAAGTAAAGTGATGGGGGGAACAGTAAGGTGTTCCCCTTTTGGTATTACCATACACAATACCCTCTACCTACGCATAAGTATATGCATATACACACATACATACACACTCGAGGGTACTAAGATGATTTGTGACAATGGAATTAGAGTAGAATGTATGAAGTAATATATATACTAATATATTCAGCATTTTTTTTATCTTTTGAAAAAACTAATTGTTCCAGTTTAGATTTTCATGAATAATTGTTTAGTTATATGTTTTCAAGAGGTGGAATCAGGTTGTGTGTACAAAAGAAGGACCAGATTTTTTAAAAGCTGTTTTTGACCCAGTTATATTGAGGATTCCTATGCTTATGGCAGACTCTATATTACAGTCAGGGTCATTGTCCATCTGCACTGTGAAGCACCGTCCAATGAGTTTTGAAGCACTTGGCTGAATATGAGCAGATATTATTGCCCGAAACACTTCAGAATTCATCCTGCTGCTCTTGTCAGCACTCACATCATCAATAAATACAAGAGAACCAGTGCGCTTCATAGTGCAGATGGACAATGACCCAAAGCAACCAAAGAGTTTTTTAAGGGAAAGAAGTGGAATGTTATGCAATGGTCAAGTCAATCACCTGACCTGAATCTGATTGAGCATGCATTTCACTTGATGAAGACAAAACTGAAGGGAAAATGTCCCAAGAACAAGAAGGAACTGAAGACAGTTGCAGTAGAGGCCTGGCAGAGCATCACCAGGGATGAAACCCAGTGTCTGGTGATGTCTATGCATTCCAGACTTCAGGCTGTAATTGACTGCAAAGGATTTGCAACCATGTATTAATAAGTGAAAGTTTGATTTATGACTGTTAATCTGTCCCATTACTTTTGGTCCCTTAAAAAGTGGGGGCACATATACAAATTGTTGTAATTCCTACACCGTTCACCTGATTTTGATGTAAATATCCTCAAATTAAAGCTGAAAGTCTGCAGTTAAAGCACATCTTGTTTGTTTCATTTCAAACCCATTGTGATGGTGTACAGAGCCCAAAAGATTAGAATTGTGTTGATGTCCCAATATTTATGGACCTGACTGTATATCATTAAATGTAATTTAGTGGTTAATATCTAGAATGTTTAGCGTAAGTGTTCTAAACTAACCACCATATAGAGAAAAATGTTGCTAAATTATGCCTACTATTATTATTTGTCTTTATGTGAAGGTCAAAATTCTATTTGGGGGTGTAGGAGGTGGTAGTTAATACATATATATCTATATATATATACACACACACACACACACACACACACATATATATATATACACAAGCACATTTGCCAAATATTTCTCCCTTTTGGCATATCTAGCTTGTGACATAGAAGAAGCCTATGGATTACCCATTGCATGCTCCCATAAGTATATCATGACACTTAAAGAAACAATATGCCAGTATATGTCATACCTTGGTGGTCTACATCATTAAGCAATGTTTGGTCTAAACACTGAAAGTGGTCTGTTCTATATATTTTTCAAATAGGTATAGTCATACAATATCCAGGTACCCAGTGACTTGTAATTGGAGGGGCAAGAACCTGTATTTAGGTAGACTATATCTGACAACTTCTTTAAGGTTTATATAACCTAAACACCAACCATGTTAAACAATTTATTTCATTTTATTATTTTGTATTGTAGAACTGACGGGATGACATATCGGAAAGGTTATAAGTAGGGGGAAAATTACTTTAAAATACTAAAAAACAACCTACCTTTTATGTAGATCGGTGCTGGTTCTGCCCCATAAATCGTAACTGAGATGGTTCCTAAGTGGCTGTTTTTCGGCACAATGATGTATATGAGTCCACCCCAAACATAGGATATTAACACCTTCTCACCAGGGACAGAGGTTTTGTTTACGACAACTGGGGCTCGACACAATGACTCTTGAGGTGATAGGTCATCTGACTGACAGCCAACTTGAACCTGTGATACACATTCATATGATTATTACAAGTCTGTATTAAGCTGAATGATTTGTGTTTAACATTACCCTACATAGCTACCAATGAAAGGAGTCCATGACATGAATTCTGACATTTCTTATAAAATGGAGGTAAACTTGCCACTGGGACCCCAAGGTAGCTGTACTTGCACCTGTATTCTGCATGGCACCCTTAAACAGACCAAAGGGTACACCAGGACAAGTTTAATTGCAATTCCAGAAGCCATGTGGATACATTTAATAGATACATGTAGATATTAGGTGTAGATGGCCTACACAATGGGTTATTACTGGTACTTGTTTGAAAAAAATGCTTATAAATATGATACTTGATCAAACAAGCAGACAATTTACCCCTTTTATTCTTCCTCTGCAAGGTAATTATTGACAGCTGTTGAACTTCAGAATTCTAAAAGGAGTAGTCTCATCAAATTATTTCCATTGTATGAGTGACCTATTTTAAGATACTGCATACTCTTGGTAGATAATGGAATTGTAGAATTGCCAGATCCACATATGAATTAGGGACATCGATAAAATACATACTTCATCTCTTTATAGGTTTTTATTATAGCCAAGAAGTATGTGTGTTTTTTTAGGTTTTCCTAAACTAGACCATGCTCTAGCAACTCTACTTTGAGACATTTTATACTCTGCTCATACTTTAACAACTTTCAGTCAATCACAAGGAAACATTTGCAGATAACACTGGCTCATGTTTTTCAGAACAGCTCAGAGTTTCCCTCAGATGCCTAATAATGTTGGTATCAGTCTATTTAAGAAATACAACAACTTAGTTGAAAATTTTGATTTAAAAAAACAAACCATGAGTATAAGAAGCATGCATTTGTAGACATTTTGGATTGTTACCTGCAGATGTTTCCCAACCGCAGACTCTGGAAAAACAAGTGCTGCTGTTTTTCCAGGAGGCAGGTAAAGCCCAGTGCTTCTCCATGCATCTTCACCTGGGACAAAATACAACATTTAACATGTGAGTCAGCTATGGTAACAGTGGGCCTTGAAGATCTTTGGTCATAATCTGAGGTTTAACATGTTCATAATCTTATAAATATTATACAATTATTTTGTCAGTAATCAGTGGTGACTCTAAAAACAATATATAGAGAGGGCACATAAGATATCACAGTCAAAACTCAGGTGGGGGCACTAATTATTTCCACCATTAAATCATACCACTGGAAAAAATGACAAATTTCCATAAATATACACACAAACACAGACAGGGGTGGCAAATGCCATATCTATAGTTTACAAATCAGAGTAAAAATGGTACTATGGGGGTGTTCAAAAAGTGCCAGTGTTTGCCAAAGGTGCATTAAATTATGCCCACATCATGACACATTGTCCTCATGCCACACTGCTTACATATATTTCAGTTTACTTCCATTTTATAATGCCCACATGCCACATTGCCTACATATATTTCAATTTGCCTCCATTTTATTATGTCTACTTTCCACATTGCCCACATGCCATGATGCCTTCATGTATTTTAGTTTACTTCCATTTTATTATGCCCACATTTTCACATTGTCCACAATACATGCCACATTGCCTAAAGTTCATACCCACACTATAATCTCAATAACTGTAGTATATGATCCCAGTGTAATTGAATAACTTGTGATTTGTGTATGTATATTGGATTATAGAAGCTACAAGCTAAATGTCTATAAAATATTTTAAAGTCAGATCCTTATAACAGGGTAGGTAACAGGAGTATGATACCTTTTTGATTATGTGAAATAGATTTACCACTGGATTTTTTTTTGTGGTTAATTTGGTGTGGATGTGAGTAAACCTCTAAAGCTCTGCAAAGTGTCTCTGCTAATGATTTCTTTTTAAATTTTGGCAACTATATAATCCAGTGATAAAGAACAGCTCATGTAAGAAGGTTTTCATCTGCAGCTCTCTTACAGTAGGTTATCATCTTCAACATGTGCACAGGTGGTGGCTGGGAGATGATGCCTGGGGACAGCACTGGAAGCAGCCTCTGCTTGGGTGTGATGGTTCACCCTTCCACAACCCCACTTGTCCCTTCCTGCAGGTCTGTCCTCTGCTTTGCACTAACATTGCTGCTCAATGTAACGGACCGTTTTGCACAAAAGGGGAAAAAACCGCTTAGACGATAATCCCCTTTTTAGAGACAGGCACAGCTACTGTAGAATCACCAAAACTCACGAACTGGATACAAAATAGCACTCCAACTCCCGAACTGGAACCTCCCAAATAGCTGCTAGCAGACGAACAGGAAAAGCAGACGAACAGCTTACACTCCTGGCAATCAGTCTCTAACAGCATACAGTGAATCCCCCCAAGAACGAGACAAGGCTCCGTGTTGAGGGTCAAGCAGTGGTCTGTTTAATGAGGGCTACCTGCCCAGCTTTTATGCAGGTCTCCCACCTGGTGGACACTCCCCTAGGGGACCAAATGGGAGACTGTGACAAGGGACAGACAAGTATACAAAAAGGACACACAGTCACAGTATATTCCCACAATGCATCCTGGCTTCCTCCCCTCTGCCCTGGGAGATAATTGGGAAGTAACTCAATTATCTCCCAAGACAAAGGCAAAACTCCATTACACACGTGGGAACACAAAACCAGCATAACACTTTAAAATGCACAAAGTAACATTTACTACATAAACCACAGACATGTAACATATCCCCAGATAGCTCAGGTCTGAGTGCACATTATTAGGTGAATGGCACTCAGACTACACGAATACAGTTCAATCGCCATGGAGCCAAAGTCTTTACAGTCAGTTTCATACGAATGGGCTCCATGGGATTCCTATCTGGGGTATAAGACATTCACACAAAAATACCGAACACCGGGTCATTCGTGTGCTTTCACCGAACAAGAAGGGAGGTCGGCGGCTTCAGCGGTGTTCGCGCAAAACTGTGTCCGATTTTAGTTCCATAAAAATAGAGGCGAACACCGCTGTTCATTCGTATGGTTTAAAATGGCCGCGACCTCGTGTTCGGGATACGAACGGCGGCCACCCAGCGTTCATCAATTAAGCTGCGGTTAACCGCAGCTTCAGGGAGGTTAATTACCGGCACACTCCAGCTCCCAGGTGGTCCAGTCATTCGTACGGTTGTTCGGTAGATTGAAACTACCGAACAACCGGCAGAAAAGCATGAATATGGCTTTTCTGCATGGAAAAATAAAGTCTTTTAAAAGGGGGCCATAGACCAAAGGCAGCAGGCGAGCAACCAGGCTTCTCCAATGCAATGTGGCGAGATTGGTCTCGTCACATCTCTCCCCTTTTCCAAACAGACTAACAGGGTATCTGACCTCCTGCCGGTCAGTGCCCTTGTTAGTCCAGCAGCCCACCCACAACAAATAATCAACAGCACAGCCCACCCACAATAAATGGTTACTACACCTGGGTAAAGGGGAAGCTTGTCCATGTCCAGGTGCCTCACCACGGCTGTGCTGGGTACGGGTACGCTGACTTGGTGGGTTGCTGCGTGGGCAGAGACCAGCGGCACTCTGCCCTGTTGCCAGCGCTACTGGGAGGGTAGCCTGGTGGAAGCCTGGTTGTTGGAGGGGGAGACCGACTGTCTCCCCTTTAAATACACCGCTCTGCTGCTGCTGCTGGAGACTGACTGTCTCCCCTTTAGCTGCACAGTCCTGCTGCTGGAAACCGACCGTCTCCCCTTTAGCTGCACAGTCCTGCTGCTGGAGACCGACCGTCTCCCCTTTGGTTACCCATCTCTGCTGCTGGAGGGGGAGACCGACTGTCTCCCCTTTGGCTAAACAGCCCTGTCGCTGGGGGGCAGGACCGACCGTCCCTACCCCCTGTGCTGGCAGTGTAGAGACTACGGTCCCATCTGCACGGTTGTGGGGCTTGCTGTCTCCCCTTTGTACATTAAGCTGCCGCTGGGGAGAGGGGGTAACAAGCTCCTCTCCCATACATACTTCCAGCTGTGGGGGAGGGAGACCGACTGTCTCTGCTCCCAATACAGAGTCCTGCTGCTGGGGAAAGGAGACTGGGCTCTCTATTCCCGGTAGGACACTCTGCCGCTGGGGAATGGAGACTGGGCTCCCTATTCCCTGCATATCACACTGCCGCTGGGGAATGGAGACTGGGCTCCCTATTCCCTGCATATCACACTGCCGCTGGGGAATGGAGACTGGGCTCCCAATTCCCTGCAATTCATTCTGCTGCTGGGGGACAGGAGCAACTATCTCTGTCCCCTGTAACTCAGCCTGCCGCTGGGGAATGGAGCTCAGGCTCCCAATTCCCTGCAATATCTCCCGCTGGGGAATGGAGCTCGGGCTCCCAATTCCCTGCAATTTCTCCCGCTGGGGAATGGAGCTCGGGCTCCCAATTCCCTGCAATTCATTCTGCTGCTGGGGGACAGGAGCGACTATCTCTGTCCCCTGTAACTCAGCCTGCCGCTGGGGAATGGAGCTGGGCTCCCAATTCCCTGCAGGACCGGTGGAGAGACCTCGGTCCCATCTCTACCGGCCACCTGGGGTTCTTCCCAGAAAATATCCACAATGTCTTCCCAGCTGAATGGGTCTGGTTCTGGCTCTGTCACCTTGCTGTCCTGCTGAATCTTCTCAATGGAGTGGAAGAGATCTCGGTAGTCCTGCTCCAGTTCCCACTCCAGGGTTGCTAGGTGAGCCAGGTCTTGCTCAATGTCGTGAGTGTCGTCCCAGTCATACCTGCTCTCCCTCCACTCCAAGAGATCACTGAACCGGGCTTGTGTAGGGCTCCCAAATTCAGGCTCTGAAAAAGCCTCCCATAACAAGCCAGGACCATCAAACTCCTCTCCCTCTGGCTTGTCATGCTCGGCTGTCCAGGGCAGGTACTGTGCCCCATACCACCAAAGCGCCTGGTATGCATCTTCCAGCCAAATCTCCTGCCATACCCGATGCTCCAATTCCTTCACCCATTCATCTAGGGGCTGCTCCCCCAGGAAAGGCATCCGCAGGGCCACTTGCTTCTGCAACCGCTGCTCTTCACTGGGGAGACTCTCACCCCGCTGGTACTGTACATTATCCAGGGCCTGGTACCAGATGCCTTTCCTTAATGCATCCCGGCCATCCAGGTCCTCCTCCTCGTATGACACTGCTGGTTCCATGCTGTTGCTGTCAGGGTCGCTGTACTCAGACATGCGTTGCCCTCAAATTGTAAATCCACGGAATGGTGTCTCCTGTAGCTGTCCTGTAGTCTGTGGGAACGATCCCGCCGCTTGCCACCAATTGTAACGGACCGTTTTGCACAAAAGGGGAAAAAAACGCTTAGACGATAATCCCTTTTTAGAGACAGGCACAGCTACTGTAGAATCACCCAAAACTCACGAATTGAATACAAGTGAATGCACCAAACTCCCGAACTGGAACCTCCCAAATAGCTGGCATAGCAGATCTAACAGGAAAAGCAGGACTAACAGCTTACACTCCTGGCAATCAGTCTCTACCAGATACAGTGAATCTCCCCAAGAATCCAGAGACAAGGCTCCGCGGTTGAGGGTCAAGCAGTGTGGTCTGTTTAATGAGGGCTACCTGCCCAGCTTTTATGCAGGTCTCCCACCTGGTGGACACTCCCCTAGGGGACCAAATGGGAGACTGTGACAAGGGAGAGACAAGTATACAAAAAGGACACACAGTCACAGTATATTCCCACAATGCATCCTGGCTTCCTCCCCTCTGCCCTGGGAGATAATTGGGAAGTAACTCAATTATCTCCCAAGATAAAGGCAAAACTCCATTACACACGTGGGAACACAAAACCAGCATAACACTTTAAAATGCACAAAGTAACATTTACTACATAAACCACAGACATGTAACATATCCCCCGATAGCTCAGGTCTGAGTGCACATTATTAGGTGAATGGTACTCAGACCACACGAATGCAGTTTAATCGCCATGGAGCCAAAGTCCTTACAGTCAGTTTCATACGAATGGGCTCCATGGGATTCCTATCTGGGGTATAAGACATTCACACAAAAATACCGAAC